GAGCGCGCCGCGCTCCTGCCCACCTCCGCGGCACGAGGTGCAGGCACGGGCGCCGCGGTGATGCTGGGCACCATCCCGGGGCTGCCCCAACCATTTTTCTGTCTCCGCAGCTCTTGTCATTTTTTTCCCCCTCTTTGATACACTAATTTTGCTGGCAGAACGATCCCCTTTATCTTTATCGACCGCGAGAAAGGAACGTATCCTACAAACCCTCCAAGGTCTGGATTAGTCATTTTTCAACACCGAGGCGTTATACATTTTCTCACCGAGCGGCAGCCCGGCTGCTGGAGGGGAGGGGGCACTCCCTTCCCCCCCTGGCACCACCATTTCCAACCACGCAGAACTTCCAACTACACCGAAGCACATTCTGCTAAAGGACTTTTCCCAGCCAAGCCCACGGGACATCACCAAATGCCTTGCGGGGTGGGGGATCACTGTCCCCCCCCAGGCTCCGCTTCCTGAGGATTTCCAGCATGGGGAGCAGCCAGGAGCAGCATCACCCCACGCACATCCCGAGTCACCTCCAAGAAGAGCCTCTGCGTGCAGGATTTATAGGCTCCTCGAAAGCTTGCTGTTCACCTTGCCTCACCCTCCAAAGCAGATGGTGCAGCATTAGCCAGACGGCTGGTGCTGGGAGCATCCTCTCCCTGCACAACCCTGCCTCTGCCAGGGAACAGCCTCTTCCCGCAGCCCGGGGAGAAGCGCAGCGTGGTGGTGGCTGGCAGGGATGGCCACAGCACTTTTTTCTTCCCCACAGGGCAGCACAGCTCCTGCCCCCAGCCTATTACACACTTCATCGATGCCACGGCCACGCGTCGCCACCGACCGATTTCATGCTCCGGGAGGCAGAGCAATGGCCCTGGCTTTGGGTCTCATTCACACTACGCTGGGCAGGGCAAGCCTGCCACTTCCAGGCTCTGGGACCAAGCTCGCTGCTCGCCCCGCAAAGCCAGGTGGAGGTGGGCAGCGCATCTCCGCCCCAGGTGGCCGCCCTGCTTTTTCTGAGCTGGATGGCAAAACAGCTTGGCACTGTGGCACCACGCAGGGAAAGGCAACCCTGGACCGGGCACGCCACGGTGCCACAGTAAAAGTGGCGGTGGGAGCGCTGCATGGCACGTAGTGCCCGCTGGCCCAGCAAAACACAGCCTGGCATGGCCAGGGGGATGCTGGAGCATCAGCCAGAAGATGGCCGGAGCTCCCCGCAGGCACAGGCTCCCCTCGCGCCGTCCCCAGAAATACACCGCTCATGGGGAGCTTGTGCTCATGGCACGAGTTTGTGAGGTCTCAGAGCAGCCGCCCAGACAATGTGCCAGCCTGCGTTTCCCCTCTAGTGACCGCCCGCAGCATTGATGAGCAGCGTTTTCTCCATCCCCTCTTTGGGGAAGGACCCCCCAAACAACAGTAAGACAGGGCTGACCACACCGCAGACCCTACTTTACGCCACGCAGCGCATCGCCAAATCCCTCCAGAACCTGCATCCCCGCCCGGCAGGTGAGGACACCTACGGCGCAGCTCCGACAGCAAAGCCAGAGCTCCCGATGCCTTCTCCCACTGCGGGCAGAGGTGCCAGCCAGAGCCCTGAGAGGGGAGCCCGGGAACGGGCACGGGTGGCGGGCTGCGGGGATCACATCAGAGCGTGCCAGTTCCCGGAAAAGTTTCGGTGCCACCCAGCGCCCTCCCAGCAGGCTGCCGCATTTCCTGGCAGGGAGCTGTATTTTTAGCCTTCGAGGTTTCTAATTCCACTCAATCCATACTCCCGTCGATAGAGCAGATAACCTTAGAGCCTTGACAGTGAACGGGGACAGCAGCACCGGGGGACCGGGAGCCTTGGGGGACCGCACGTAGCCTCGGCATGCAGCTCGCAGACCCGCAATGTCAGTCTTTACAGCCTGCTGCAGATTGGGCTCTTTGGAGGGGAAAAAAAAATAAAAATATAATAACAAGACTAATAAAAAGGCAGGTACAAGGAGATTCTAAACAGCCCCGCTGGGCAACCCGCCGCTCGCTGGGCTCATCCCATGCCAGGCACGCACGACGGCACGCTCGCCGACTGCACAACGCGGGTGCCTGGCAGCCCAGGTAAGGACTGTCAGAGGTTTTGGCTACCGTGCACCTCTCCTGCACGGAGCGGAGCTCCAGCCCAGCCCACACGGCTCACGCAGCAGGCGATGGGGCCAAGGGCAGGACCTGGATACCTGGCGCGGAGAGGCAGAGCGAAGGCAAGAACACAGAGCCGCCGGCACAAGGCAAAGCAAAGCGCTACAAGGAGCGGAGAGCTGCGTCTCATCTGACACCTGCCTGCAGCTCCACGGGCTTTAAGACATCCCTGTCCCCTGCTGTCAGGAGAAAGATGCTCTCCAGCAGCCGGAGCAAACGCTGCCTGTGCGAGGAGGCGGTGAAGGCATCAAAGGGGCTGCGGAAAGAGAGAGATTTCAATCACGCCTTTCACTTGCGATGCTCTTAGGAGATACCTGGAACAAGAGGAGGGGAACGTTTCAGACAGGAGGGGGATTTGTAGGTCAATAGTGTCCCTTCGCTGCTGCGGAGGGGAAAAGGGACAACAAACCAGCAGAAGGAGTTAACAGCTGGAGGGCTAAGGGGAATACAAAGGACTTCACAAATATATCCGGGCAGAATCAGCACAAAAGTGAAAAGGTCTATTAATAAATGAGGAGGGAGAGAAAATTAATGACGGCTCAAAAATAAAAATGACTCAAAAGGGCAAAATTACTGTTTTTAACCAGAAAAATGCAAATGAGGCAGAGGCCTCGCAAAAACAGCTGCAGGGAAAGCAAAAACAGCATCTTCACATAGACATGGTCACCTGGCCGGCGTGGCCGGTGCCCAGACGAACCGATTAACCCGCTGACACACATGTGGCGCTGGGAAGAAACTGGGGCCCTCGTGATGGGCAGAGCAAACCAGGCGCTGATTTTGTGCGAGAAAGGACAATAAAACCGGAGCCGGGCACAGGATAAACCCTGGGCACATCCCTAGCACAGAACATTACGGCCAGAGGAAGGAGCTTGCACACCCACCATGATGGGCTCCTGGATGAAGGATGCTGGCTTGCTCAGCGGGAGCGATTCTGGAAGAATCGCTGGGCAAAGCTTATGGATAAGGCAAGCGAGACACAATTTAGCTGAACTTCAGGTTTACACCATCTCCCAAACTTCTTCCCTTGTGAAGTGAATTGTAATTATATTTGTAGATAATACTGAGCAGAGAGGTGTTGGCAAAAGCAGAGAAATCATTCAAAGGATCCGAGAAATGCAGGGAGGAAACAAAACGAGACCCAGCCTGGGAAAACAAAGGGAAAATAACCCGAAGCAGCTATTCAGTGGGCCGGAGCAGCCTGGAAAGCAAAGCCCAGAGCCCCACAGTTGCGCTCAGACCAGAAAGCAGGTGGCCGGGGTGACCACCCCAAAATGCACAAGGGGCGGAATCTGGTCACCGGCATCATGCCACAGGCCAACCCAGGGCAGTGACAGCCCCTCGGTGGGCAGCATGTAGAGCCCCGCAGGCAGCGTGAAGGATGGAGGGGACACCGAGGGCAGGCAGGTGGCTGTGAAAAACAGCGTCCAGTGCCTGGGAGCCACCGGGCATGTGTTTTACGAGCCATGGGAGCCCGGAGCACTAACCACCCGGGGGTGCCATATAACTCCCCTGCCCTCCAGGGCTGTCACCACTGGCATCGCCCCGTGACTCAGTAAGTCGGGGTGAGTTACGGGGTCTGCAATGTGCCGTGCTGCCTGGCAGCTCCAGGGGCTACTTGCCAGCGGGGTGGGGGACAGACCTGAGACATGAGGTAGGGGACAGGACTGGGACAGCGG